CTCCCTCCCTCCCTCCCTCCCTCCCTCCTCCCTTCAGTGCTCGGATGCTTGCTCCATCCACGCACTCCCTGACTCACTGTCCGCCCTGCCCCCTTTCTTGTCCTTCCCTCCCTTGACGTCGCCGCCTGCCTATGGTTTGGCCTCTTTGTAGAATTTTGACGCCGTGAGCAAGACCGCTGGCTTCGCGGACATGGGGAGGATGAATATGGACCTTGTTTTCGAAATCCTGCAGAAGCGTTAGGCAGAGAGGGGGAAGGGAGAAGAGGAGCGAGGGATGAAGGTCCGGTCCGGTCGCGTTTGAACTTTTTGCTGCGTGTTGAGCATACAGGGGGCTTCGAATGCACTTCGATTGCACACAAGACAGACCTTCGGAAAGATGCGAGATGCGTGGGCCCGGGAGAGGATGAGGGGGGTTAAGCAAGAGCCGGGAGTGCGATATGTCAAACCTCGCATAATTGGGGTCAATATGGAAGCGTGCGTGTGAATAATCCAGGACAAAGCATAAAAATCATCAGCTGTGATACTCTTTCATCTCTCCCAGAAATGGCTGGCACCAATGATTGAGAAAGTGATTTCGTCAATAGGAAACGAAGAAAATGTTTCTCGACATTCTGACATGCTTGCCAATGTCAGTCGTAAGTTAAAAGCTCCTCTTTCTTTTTTTCCTTTTCTTTTCTTTTTCTCCCCCTTCCCCGTACAACGACTCTTCGGACGTGGGAAGCGGTTAGTAACACCGATCACGCAAGCACTCGTGTTATCAATTTCCACGGATGCAAAGCTTACCATAGCATACACGAGAGATGCCATCCTTGGTTGACAGCTATTCCCAAACTATTCCACTCGTAAAATCTGGAGTAACGCCACTATGGACGCAGGTCAAGCAGAATGGCAGTGTACGATTGGGGTGAGAAAAACGGTTTACAGTTCCAAATCGACTCCGACGTAAATTGCGCGACGTGCTACAGTCTTACAGAATGTAAGGTTGGGGCTGTTCGGGTCTCCTGTAGCGCGTGTTGGTTTTTCTCTTTGATTTTGATGGTCACGAAACGAGTTATTACCCTGCCAATTAGCCCGGGCATGGGGCATGTCCGACGGGACGAATACGTAAAGCGGTCACCACACCCACGCATGCCACACGGGCAGTCCTAAGCCAGCTCATTGTCCTCAAACGAAGCGTCTCATGTGCATGGCGGAGTGCAGTCGGACAGACATGTAATATCTCCTTACGAATGCGAGAGGTTTTCATTTCCTGCCTCGACCTCCCCCCTCTCACTAAGCTCACACCACCCTTTATCTATGATGCACAGGGACCGCCGCAGGCACCATGGCGGCGTTAGACAAGCTGCAAGAACTTTCGCTTGTCTCTAAGATATGCACGGAGCTGGACAGTCATTTAGGTCTGGCGGACAAGACTTTGGCGGAGTTCATCATCCACCTGGCCGAAAGCCATGGGGACGCCAAGGTTTGGGGGATGGGTAGGAGGAAAGGAAAAAAGGGAATGGATAAAATGTACCTGAACCGTGATGGAGATGTGCACAGTCGTGAAGAGACGTAGCAAAGGTGCGAATAGTGAAAAGTGGGAAGGCTTTTAAAAAACACATGCGCATCCTAAGTTTTTAAGGGGGGGGGGGGCCTCAAAGCTTGAACGGCAGTGCTCTCACTTTCCCCAATTTCTCACCTGGCCCTCCCCGTCCATCAATCTTTCCCCTTCCTCTTAGTCCTTTCGTACTGCATTGGACGAAAATGGGGCAGAATTTCCTCCAACATTTTGTGACAAGCTCTTCAATCTCATTAAAGCGATGAGGGTGAGGGAGGCCTAGGCGCGAGCGGGAGGCCGGGAAGAGGGAAAAACCAGAGAAAGGGAGGAAAGCACGGGAAGCATTCGTTGTTTGGCTTTAAGAGAGGGACGGCCCTGAATATCTCTGCCGTTCGTACTTTGTGTCTAGTAGTTTGACGCCTAGTGGCCTTCGACCCATCGATCCTTTCCCTCCATACAGCCCCACAGAGTCGGGAGAAAGAAAACTTACAGCAACGGGGATGGCGGGGAGCATGAGCATGTTGAACCTCGCGAAGCCCGGAACGCCAAAGAAGCAGCGTTCCCAGGACTTAGGTGCTCCCTCCCTCCCTCCCTCCC